CGTTCGTCCCTGCGCAGGCCGGAGTCCCAGGGCGCCTCCGCAGCGTTCATCGTTGTGGAATATCATCGATGGGATCTCCATCTTGACGTTTTGGGGCAGCATCCTCATGTTCCTCGTGGTCGCCCTTGTCTGTCTTGCCCGCATGATGCCTGGTGGAGCCGGCCCACAGGGCGGCGGAGGCGGTCGTGGTGGGATCGCTTCCCGCCAACCGCCCTCATGGTCACCTGAGCGCGAGTCAGCGTATCCATTCCGCCACCGGGTGTAGGAGTTGTTCGCGTGGAGCGTGCTCGCTACCGACATGGACAGCGCCCAACAGCACGCTGCCGTCATCTTCAGCCGCGGTGGAGCCGCTCGCGAGCTCACGCGCTTCATGAGTTTCAAGGAGATGGCGGAGGGAGGCATGGTCACTGGCATGCACGAGGACGCCGTGACCTACCTCATGGCGAACCTTGCCATTCAGTTTGGTCCAGTGGGCGAGGGGTCGCGCCTCCAGGCTACCAGCGAGCTCTTCGAGTTCCCGACGCGCCGTATCGAGACTGTCGATTTGATCTCGCGGTGTCTCTTGCTGCGAGTCCGAGCAACGCACAACGGTGGAGCTGCGATATCTTGGGGAGGCTGCACCTGGCTGCTCCTCCGAGCGGCCGGCGTCACAGCTACTTGGCCAACTCATGACGGCGCCCCAGCTTTAGGGCAACCGATACCCAGCCACGGAGCCTGAGTTCAGCAGTTTCACGACCATGGTCAGGCGCGTGGGTCGCATCGCTGAGCATGCACCAAACAACATCGCCAGCGCTCTCCGTTCGCCGCCATCTTCTCCAAGCTTTGTGGCCATGACCAACGACGACAATCAAGACACCCAGTGCGGAGCCCTGGCACACAGCGGGCCTCGCTCGACCAGTGCGCAGCTAGCGCAGCCGAGCTCCCTGGTGTTGGAGGTGCTATAGCTTGCGCCGCCGGCCCGTCGTAGAACACCGTGATAACACCGCCCCTGGCACAGAGTGGTCACCATTCATATTTTCAGCGCTGCCACTGACCATCGCCCAATTGAGGTGTTTGGAAACGTTTCCATGACTCGCAGTTCTGAAACCTTTTTCTGGGTTCGTGGGTCGATCATGTTTTCACCGGGCCCGTGATGGGAACCATGTTTTTTTCTCCCATGCGACGGCCCCGTGTTTTGCCCTGGCTCTTCTCGTTCGTTGCCCGCATAAGCTTGTGCTCGGGCACACACGAACAATATCCTCACGGCCTGAACGTGCTCCACCGCCCGCGGCTTCTCCCCCCCCTCGCGCCCGTTCTTTTTTCCTTTGTTCCTTATTCGGTTCCCATGCGCCCTTCGGCTGCTTCGGCCGCGTCTTGGACCCGAGTAGCCGCTGACAAACATGCTTTTGCGTATGCGAGCGAAACACATTGGGGAACCGGAGGAGCAGGGGCGGGAGGATGAGCAGGACAAGGGGTCACCGGGATGAGTCGGCGCCAGCGCGCCGCCACACGTGCGCTCGTGCTTTCCCGCGGAGGTGCGCCGTTTTGGCGATGATGTTCGCACGAGGCCCGCGCCCGCGCAGCGGCGGCGCCCGCTCGCACGGCGACGGCGGCAGACGTCACGGGAGAAACAGATACCGATACCGCTACCCGTCGGTTGTTGGAAATCGTTGTTTTGGGGCTTCCAGATTTCAGTCTACTTTAAGCGCCTTCGTTTTTCAAGGGTCGAGCGGTTTTCCTTTTTCCCTCCTCTTCAGGGGGCGGGTGGGAGCCGAATTTACTTTTAGCGCCTTCCTACTTCATGCTTTGACCAACCTCTTCCGACCGACGGGTATCCTTTTGCCCAGTTTTGTTTGCCTGTTGGGGCCTCCTGGGAGGCCCTCGTCGCCACGGCGGGGCTTGCCTCCACGTTTTCTGGTCAGAACGCACCCTGGGAGAGGTCTGGGGAGCAGCGGTATCGTTATTTGTTGTCTTCTCCCCAGGGGGGACGGGCGGCGGCAGCGACGGCAGCAACGACGACGGACGAACGACGGCGGCGACCACGGCAGCAAAGGCGGCGACGACGAGACGACGGACAAAGATCGGCGACGATGATAAGGGAATCACCCCGCGCCGTGGAACCGTCAGGACGGCCGTTTTTTGTCCGTCGTCGCCACGGCTTGATTCGCTTCGAGATCCTGGTCAGAACGCACTCCAGGAGAGGTCCAGGGAGCAGCGGTATTGGTATCTGTTACTTCCGCCCACGGAGGACCAACGTCGCGACAAAATCATGACGTTGGAGGTCTGGGACGGTGGCGCCGTCGACGATGACGAGGACCAGACCACCTGCGACGATGAACACGATGGCTGCGGCGGCGGTGGCGGCTTTCGCTTGCGCCCCGGCCTGGGCCATCCTGGCACCAGGTCGGGCCCCTCGATGCTTTCGGTAAGTCGCGCTCGGGGTGTCGCGCCGTGTGCCTGCAGGCCCTCGGCGCCGAGGCCGTCCCTTCGGATGCTTCGTCCATGGGGGCCCCTGGCGGTAGCCGTCCGTCGCCCTCTCTCGGTCGTCGGTCTTTGTCGTCCGCCGGCGATACTCCGCCGCCGTCTCAAGGACGGCAGCAAGCGACCGCATTGATTCTCGAGCAAACTGACGAACAAGAAATTGTAATGTGGGTTGGTGGTGTTGGGGGCACTGGAGGCGCGGGGCAGGTGGTGAATCCAGACCTCGCTGACCCTACTAGCTTCATCTTCTTCCAATGCAGTCTGCTCTTTCCCTTGCAATGTAGTTCCACAGCGGTGCTGGTGAATTTCTTGCGTGGTGCAGGGTGGGTTGGTGTGCGGATGCCATTTCCAACCACCCCGAATAGGAGCAACGATCAACGATCAAACAAATGTGAATCTCCGGGAGTTGTACTCGGACACGCTTCCGACGAAACAGCGCATGTCCATTATGTATGTAATTTCGGGCGTTGCCCACCAGGGAGCAGCTGCTGGGAATGGTTTCGAAGTCTGCCGCGTGTGACCATGGTGGTATGGTGCACACTTGCTTATATATCATATATGTCCGTTGCTCTTTCGAGAGCTGGTTGCTGCGCACATCTGATATGTGTGTGCTTGTATGACATGTAATCCTGCCCTCCGTTCTGCGATTATGTAAGTGTATGATGCACAGGGCTAGCGTGTTTTAGTTGGTGGGTTGCATGCTGTTGCCACTCACGTGGGTTCATCGAGTATGTCTCTGACATTGTGTTATTAGCGCTAGTTTGACGCATCGCTGGTTTTGAATTACTGGTATGTGTTTGATACTTGGCATTGGTGAATGTGTTTGTGCATAATGGCCGCCTTTGAGTGTGGTATTGGCGTGCGTTATGGGTATGCGCATGATGATTACTGCTGTGTGTCATTGATGTCCTGTAGTGGTGTATGTTGTGTGCGATGTATGTTATGGGTGCGTGTCATGTGTGTATGCCCTTGTCCTTTGGTATTGGTACATCGCCGTGGGGTATGTTGTTGGTCTATGCCCCTGGCGTTGATGTGTTCCATCGATGGTATGTTGCTGCTGTGTGTTGCTTGCGGCGGGTAGTTCAAAGGTATGCTAGTCATACATGCCATTGGTTCGCGTTGCGAGTGTCTGTTCTTACGTGCGTTGATACTGTGTTGTGTATGGTGTTGAACTGTTGTCGACATGCGTGTTCTCGTTGTGTCTTTTCAGCCTTGCGCCTTGGTGCCTGTTAGTGATGTATTGCGAAGACCTACGGCCGTTGCCGCCGACCCTGAAGGGGGACGACGACGACGACGACGACAACGGCGGCGTCGGCGACGACGACGACGACGTAAACAGAAACCGAAAGTACTCACACCACCGTTCGTACCGGGAGCCTTGGCGTTGAGAGCTTGGTACGTCACCCCTCGCTCGTGGGAGCCGTAGTGTTCAGAGATTGTTGCGTTGCCGCCCGTTCCTGAGCCTTGGCTGGGCCTTGGTGTCGGGAACTTGTTACGTCACCGCTCTCTGCTGGGAGTCTTGGTCTTATCAGCTTGTTTACGTCACCGCTCGCTCTTGGGAGCCTTGGCGTGAAGAGCTTTTTGCGTTTCCGATCGCTGTTTATTTGACGTCTCTGGGCCTTCTTGGGGGTCCTATCAGGGCCCTTTTCGAGCCCTTTTGGAGGCCTCTTGGGAACCTATTGGGGGCCTCTTGGTGCTTCTTGGGGGGCTCTGGGGGCCTCCTGGGAGCATCTTGGGACGAAAGGCTAGACTTTTCGGTTCGTGGTCCCCCTCTCGGGGCCGTCTTGGGGCCGTCTTGGGCGCCTCTTGGGCCGTCTTGGGGCCCTCTTGGGCCGTTTGGGGGCCTCTTGGGAGCCTCTTGGGCCGTCGTGGGGCAGTCTTGGGGGCCTCTTGGAGCGTCTTCAATGCAGTGAAAGCCGAAAAACCGTGTATGCTAAAAATGTACTTTTTCCCACCGGAAATCCATGCTTTTGGCCTCTTGGTGGCCTCTTGGGACCGAAAGGCTAGACTTTTCGGTTCGTGGTCCCCCTCTCGGGGCCGTCTTGGGGCCCTCTTGGGCCGTCTTGGGCGCCTCTTGGGCCGTCTTGGGGCCCTCTTGGGCCGTTTTGGGGGCCTCTTGGGAGCCTCTTGGGCCGTCGTGGGGCGGTCTTGGGGGCCTCTTGGGCCGTCGTCAACGCCGTGAAAGCCGAAAAGCCGTATATGTTAAATATGTACGTTCTCCAATGGGAAGTCGATGATTTTGGCATCTTGGGGGCCTGTTGGGGCGCCTCTTGGACGCCTCTCGGGGGCGTCTCGGAAGCCTGTTGGGCCGATCTTTGGGGCCCCTGTGGCCGTCTGTGGCCCTTCTGGGACGGAAACGGAGAGAACCTGAAAAACATGCAAAAACCCGAGGGAAAACCCGAAAACGGCCATTAGAGCCCATTCCCCCGGCCTACCCCCCTCCCCTGGAACCTCTCCCTTTAGGGCTTCGCCCACACCAGAACGTCATCACTCGTACCTCGCTCTTTCCGTTACCCCATACTGATATTTAAACAAATTCGCGGGGAGCATTTGTCATGAGCTATGAGTGCAGTTTGTAGCCTTGTTTGGGCTCCAGGCAAACGCCGCGGGCCGCGCATCGGCTGACCAGCAACATCTCTAGACCTCGTTCGGAAGGGCCGAAATCGGCTGGGATTCGGTTCGTTGGAGCCCTTGCGCCAGGCCGCCTTTACCAGCCTGCCGGGTCCACACGCGGATCCTCAACCTTTCTGTAGAGCCAGGGCTTGTGGCCCAGGTCGCTTTGTGGCCCAGGTCGCCTTGGGATGGGCGGTGCCGGGTCGGCGCAGCAGGTGCAGCAGCTGCCACCCGCGCGGCTGGAAACAGTCTTCGACTGTGTGATCGGCTCGGAGCCGACCCTTGCCGGAGCCTACGGCGCCAGGAGGACATCGAAGCCATCAGCACCACCCTCTGTGGCCAGCGTGCGGGAGGGGGCGCAGATTGCGAGCGGCCGCATCGCCCAGAAGTGTTGCTGGCTGGAAGGCCCGGCGGGTCGGTCACACGGCACCTCGCTGCAGGACGTTCGAAATACCATCAGCGACATATTGCTCAGTTTCGCGTTCGACTCGGTGACGCGCCCCAGTTCGTTCTCGAATTTTATTTGTGTCGTCATCGACCCGTGGTCCCCGCGGGGCGTCTGCATAGCCGACGAGAAGAGCATGCCCACCATCCCGGAGGATCAGCTCTTGGCTTGGTGCGCGCGTGACCGCATCAGGACCGATGAGGATTGCCGTGTGGAGTCCATCAAGATCCTGCGCCTGTTGGCTTCCAGTGAGGTGGCGCTCGGCCTGGACACGCCGCGGCGACGGCGGGTGCGCAGCCGGCCGTCCTTGCCGGGCCACTCGGGGAAGATGCTGCCGCAGCGAGGTGATGCCATCAGGCCGAAGCGGCAAAGAGGGGGGTGATGACTAGGGGGTGGGTGGGTATCATGGCGTGGGCCATGATATTTTCCCAGATTTCATGGCGCCTCTTCTTACTTCATTAATTACATCCCTGGCCCCCCTTGGGCCGCGCACATGCCGCCGGCCATGATTTGCACCCCCCTCTTGGACGCCCCCCTCTTGGCCGCCCCCGAATCAGGCGGAAGCGCATCGTCCCCATCGGCCTCATGACGGACGACAGAGTACCGTGCGAGCATCGGAGGGGCAGCAGCCAGAGTCGTAACGGCAGCTAAGCCCCGTGGGCCTCGGGTGCGTCGGCAGTGCAGGGGTCTCCCCATGGAGGTACCTGCTGTTTTGCGGGGGGCAGGGCCAAACAGTCATTCCGTCCGCTACTGGCCCGTCATGGGGGGGCATTTTGGGGCTGATCTGAAACCGTCTGGGGAGCGTGTGGGCCGTCTTGGGCCCAAGACACGCTGGGCCGTCTGGGGAGGTTGTTCAGTAGGGTCTCGTGGGGGTGTCTTGGGCCAACTTAGGCCGTCTTGGGAGTCCACTTGGACCGTTTGAGCCTACTGAGCCCCACTTGGACCGTTTGGGCCAGCTTGGGCCGTCTTGGGCATCTCTAGGCCGCCTTAGGGGTCTCGTGGGGCTGTTTTTTGGGGGGCAGCGTGTCGACCCTTGTTCAACCGCCTCGGAGCCTTTTCTGGAGCCTCTCGGGGATTCCTCTTGTGCGGTCCCTCCTGCGCCTCCTTTGCCCCTGCTTGGGGACTTGTTCCGAGCATTATCTTTGGGTGGAGGGCAACGGGTGAAATCTGAAATGTCGTTTCGATGGATGTTCGAGGCTTGAGTCTGCAAAAGGTGAATCACAAGACATGTTGATTTTCGATGTGCAAAAGCCCATCTGGATTTCACCCTAAGCCCTCCACCCTAAGAACAGACTCAGTTGTTGGGACCCTTTCGGGCGGTCTTGAAACGATCTTGGGGGCCCAGTGTGCCGTCTTGGACGGTCGGAAGATCAAAAAGGCGAGCAGGCCAAAGTCACACGACAACCGCCAGATGTAGTGTGTTGCTCATCTTTTGGACCGCCCTGGAAGCCTCCTGGGCCGCCTTAGCGCCACCTTGGGCTGGACTTGGCCCGTCGTGGCCTTCTTGGGCGTCCATTCGAATTTTCTGTAGGTACTCATGGGGTGTCTCTGGGGACGCTCTTGGGACCCTCTATGGGGGCCCCTCGGAGCCCTCCCTGCTGGGCCGACTTGAGGCTGTCTTGGGCCTTCTCGGGCGATCTTGGGGCCATGTTGGGAGTTTTTAGCCGTATTGGGACACTCTTTGGGCCTTCTTGGGCTTTCGGCCGTCTTGGGAACATGACAAGGCCTCGTGGACGGCCTGGAGGGTGATTTGGATTATCTTGGTGGCATCTGAGACGCTCTCTGGAGCTATTTGCAAGCCTTTGGGGGCTCCCAGAGAGCTTCAAGGACCCCAGGGTGAGCTCATCTGGGGGTTGCCCTGGGCCGCCGTCCCCACGCTTGAACGCGCAACTCGGGGCCCAGAGTGGGAGGGCATTTAGGGGGGGGAAGAATCTCACACGCTTGCAGACCCCCAAAGGGGTCGGTATACAAGTGGAGTCCTTCTGCCATAATGCCGCAGGCTCTGGCATTGTGGGCTACAGTGGAGGCCCATGCCAAACAACTCCCTGCTTGCCTCCAGGGGGCCCTGGGTTTCTTGGGTTTCGATGGTTTAGCTATGGGGAGCGTGAGGTTGCCACACCAAACATCAATGGACGTCCTGGGGTCCCAAGGTTTCTTGTAGACTTGCCTCCACTGTAGACTGCAACGCATCAATTAGTTCACAAGCTTTGGAGTGAGGCGCTCCTTGATGACCCAAGGCCATTCCAGGACAGCCGGTGAACAAGCTTTGTGTACATCGTTGAGCACAGATCGTATGCGACATCTACCGCGCTGCCCCTATGGGGCCGGACTGACGGTACGATGGCGCGCGTTCGTGTGCTTGCCAACCTGGGCGTGATGTTCAAAGTTGATCTGGTCTAGTTCTGTTTCTAGAAGCTTCCCATGGCTTTTTTTCCGAGCTGTAGGCTGAATTCGATATCAAGGCAAACGACGTCCTCCAGCTATGCGGTGGCCAGGCATTGTGGCTGAAAGCCGTGCGGAATTCTACGAAGGTAGCGCCCGCTTGACCGTCGAGGAAGAGTTGTTGTTCTAAGGACATTGCCACTTCTGGCGAAGCGCGTTTTTGTTTCGCTGCGCAGCGAATCTAACACGTTTCCTGTTGTAGGTTTGTCCATACGGTTTCCTGAACCAATGCGCAAGTTTTTGTTCGCTGTGCCCGGATTCTCAGTCGAGCAAGACTCGCATGGGAAACGCAGGCCTTGATCGCCGTGGCTTTTGGCACAGCATCGTACATGCAGCTGGCTGTAGCTCCGAACGACTCCCAGGCTTGGCCTTCCAGACTCCCATCTGGCGCGGAGCGAAGGTTTCGTGTGGCCGTGCTGTGCAGGCGCGCGGACGTTGTCCCGAGGACGCAGC